GCAAAAGGGACTGCTACAAGGGGGAAAGAAAGGGAAAAGAGAAGGTGAAAGGAGGGAAAGAAAGAAAAGGAAAAAAAAGAAAAAAAATCCATTATACTTCATGAACACTCACAAAAGGATTTAAATAAAGGGTTTGATTGATTTTTGACTATATAATTTCTAATAAAAACTGATAATAACAATAATAATAATAATAAATTACTGATCTGACAAACACACCACACACTCTTGCCAGGACTTGCACCTGGAATCTTCCACCCAAAGGATGGATGTGTTACTATTACACCACAAGAGTTGTGTCTTTCTTTTTTTTTACAAACACTGCAAATTAAGAACTGGAAATAGCAACTAAAAACAAAATGTTCACAGCACAACACACACAGCAAACACAATTAATCAATTTTCACAGCACAACACACACAGCAAACACAATTAAAAACTGAACTACATGCAACTATATAAAAACCTAACTATACACATTATTATATACACCAATGAAAAAAAAAAATCAAAGACCTCCCTGTACATTCTCCCTCCACTATGCAACAGAGAGGCCTGAGGCTGGACAATACCACCGGCCCTTCAGCTGAGTGTGGCTAGTCGTCTTATTTTTTGCCAGCCCACACTGCTTGCAGATATACTGATATATATCCTTTGCTAGTCGTTTCCGTGGTGGTTCACCTCTAGCCACTCGCTCCTCATCCTCTTGGGCAGCTTTCTGCTTTCTTCATGTGCGCTGCCTGGGCTGAGTAGAGGGACAAGTTTGTGGTGGCAGGTTATCAGGTGGCTGGAACTGGGGAGGGGGCTGGAATTGGAGAGGGGGCTGGAACTGGGGAGGGGGCTGGAATTGGAGAGGGGACTGGAACTGGGGGCTGGAGCTGGGTGGACGGAGGCAGTGGTAGACCGGGTGGGTAGCTGGGAAAGGGTGGGTAGGACCCAGGGGGGAATGCAAAGTGTGGTGCTGATGGGTATATGGGAAATGCAGAGTAAGATTCAGGAGGAGGGGTGGGCAGTTGGCACCTGTTGGAGATACGCTTATGAACAAAGGCCTCTCCCTCCTGATTTGCTGGCTCCTGAAATACCATGGCCTCATGCCCATGCTGTGCAGGGAGAGCTGGAAGTGCGCGCACTTCAGGAAGTGACTCCTTTGCCAAATATAATTGTTTGGTCAGTGCAGTACCCTGCAGCAGCATGTCTCGGTCTACACATTTCTGTCTTCTTAGTAGCCTGCAAGAGAAACATTATTCATCTTAAATTGGCAATTTTTGTGGATTAAAGCCCATTGTCTTTACTTACTGTAGCATAATTTTTAAAAGAAGTATGTACAGGAAGGTTTTATAAGTACAATCTTGATATACTACTGTGATTGTATAAAAGTATTGCATAAAAGAAGACTCACCACGAGGAGACAGTAGTGGTGTTTATCGGGACCAGAACCAGGTTAGTCTGTCCTAGAACCACTCTGCTGTCCTCCAGCAGCTGTTTTAAGTGGCTGTATACCACCACAATAGATTGTGGAATTGGCAGAGTTTTTCCTTGTGTGTCCTTGGGCCTGTTCCGTGCTTGCTGAAACTCTTTCAAAAGTCGTAGGCAAACACATTCACAGACCCTGTGAATCTCAGGGTCCTGAGCTGCCTGCCCATGAGTCATGAACAATCTATGGAAAAGGATGATGATATAATCTGAACTGTATACTAGGTTATAGACTAGTGAAGATCCAAATAGTCAAATTACCTCTCTGCTGCCTGCTGTCCTGGAGCAGAGCCACTCTGCTTCCTGGATGCTCTCCAAGGTCCTGTCAAAGCCTTCTTCTTAACCCTCTGGCTATATTTTGATGGTACCTTGTCCATGGCATGCAGAGCCATGTACAGCTGGACTATGTCGGCCTCCTCTTGTGATGACAAGGCAGTGATCGTTCGGTTTAGGCCAACCAGGTAGGCTGCCAGGGCATCAACTGCCTCCCAGCCCAAGACACCTCTGGAATCAGGATTGGGCCAACAAGTACTCTACTGCAATGCGCTCCCCTGCAATAATTTTTAACACATTGTTAATGGGGAGAGGACACACACACAAACAAACAAACAAACAAACAAACACAGGAGACACAGAGGAATACTCCAATGCTCAGCATTTCCCTGAGAGATATCTTACCAGTGGGTTTTCCTGGAGGGGTAAATTCTGGCATCAAAGCCCGACCAAGGACCCGTTGGCTCATGTTGTTTAAATGAGACATTGCGCAGACATCAAATGTCCTGAGGGTTGAGGCCCCGACCACAGATACAGCTTCTTTTGCCCGGCTCATGTTCCCCCTCGAGGCCCCCTCTAACATGTACATTTGTGTGTGCATGGCATTGCATCTCCATCCTAAGAATGAAAATGCACAGATTCAGTCAGCAATTATTTTAAACTGAGGACATACAAATTTAATGACACAGTTATAGAACAGTAACACATAATAATGATACTGGTAGTAAATTCCATGAAAACAAGTCAAATCCAGGTAGCACCCAGGGTTCTACTTCTATAATGTTGACACAATAGCAATCTTTTCAACTTAAAAATCTACAG